CTTTCGCTGAATGATGTCATTCACACCGGGGAATCGTTCGTGAACAAAATTCACGACATTCTAATTGCAAGCCGAACCGGAAAAATAATACTCATGTGTGACATTCAGGCAGCATTCACTCAAATAAGACTGCAAAAAGAACACAAAGATCTTTGCAGATTCCTATGGTTCAAAGATCCGAAATAAGCCACCAACGCGTGAAAATATAGCGGAGTACCGCTTCACACGCCTACCGTTCGGTCTGACAGCATCTCCTAGCATTCTCAATATGGTTATATTAGCATATTTAAACCATAAAAACACAGAGATAGCAAAGGAAATCATGGACCATTTATATGTAGATAATATTCTACTCCGAGCAAATACCGTAGAAGAGGCTCTCCGGAAATACAAGAGTCGAAAGCAATATTTGCGGAGATTGGCATGAACTTGCGTGAGTACATATCAAACTCGAGCGAAGTCAATGCTGCCATCCCAGAAAACGATCGTCTACATGGGAAAGTCATAAAACTCTTGGGAGTGGACTACAACACAGAAACAGACGAGTTTCAAGTGAGCACTCGAATAACGCAAAAAGATCGGCTAACGAAACGAGATATTGTTAGCCAACTAAACTCGTATGATCCTATCGGTTTAATGGGACCGTTGCTCATAAAAATGAAATCATTAATGCGGGAAATATACGACACCGCCATAGAATGGAATGATCCCATACCCTACGAACTATGTCGTAGATGGAACAACGCATGTCAAGAAGTCAAGAACGTGTCGATAACAACACCAAGACACATGGTTGGCGTAAACCACGATGACATGGAATACATTCTTATGGGTGTTCTGCGACGCTAGCAAGACAGCTATAGCGGCGTGCATATTTGCAAAACAACAAGACTTATGCGATTTCCCAGCTAATAAGTGGAAAAACACGCCTAACACCGAAAAAGACTGTTCAAACTATACCAAGGTTAGAACTGCTCGGAATCCTAATCGGCATAAGGTTAGCAAAGACACTACAAAGCCAATTGGGAGTGAATATTTCTAATGTCAACATTGCATCTGACAGCGAAATAGCGCTAGCGTGGTTGAAATCAACACGCAAACTGCCTCCATTTGTAACCAATCAGAAGAGGCGCATAATTGATACTAAGCAACTAATGGAAGAAGCAAAAAAGACAAATGTATGCTTCTACTACATCCCTACACATTACAATCCAGCGGATGCTGGAACAAGAGGCCTCACAGCAAACACAGTTGCAAACCATGACTGGGTGAGGGGCCCTCGATGGCTCGAAAAGGACCCAAAACGTACTCCTCTGAGAAGCATAGAAAACATAGAGGAAAACGTTGACATGTGAATATGGAAGAGATAACGCAGCCGAGCATGATCACTTCACATCCGGTCGTTACCACACCTCATCAACCGTTGATTGACACCACTCGGTTTTCGAGGTATACGCGAGTACTACGCACACTTGCAGTGGTAGGAAAAACTCTATCCAAATGGGTACGTCGATGCAACCTAAACAGGTCGTCTATAAGAGTTTCACAAGTTTCTCAGAAGACTCAGAAATTGACTCGGATGACATAGCGGCTGCAGAAACACTGCTGTTCACCTCAGAACATCGCAAAACAAACATAGAAGAATTGCGAAAACGCTTTCCCAACATGAGTATAATTCGGGATCAAAATGAGATAATTCGATATGAATCTAGAATCCGCAATGCGATATTACCTCACGATACAAAATCGCCTATCTACATATCAAACGATTCGGATCTAGCTCGCCTGATAATAGAGCATACTCATCAAGCAAATGCACACTGCGGCAAAGACCACCTCCTTGCACTACTACGGCAAAGGTTTTGGATCCCGCAGCCATCAAGAGCAATCAAAAAAATATTGAAAAACTGTGTGATTTGCAGGCGATGTCACGGGCTTCCGTTCGGAGCACCAGACATGCCACCGCTACCCAAAGACAGAGTCGTGGTAGCGAAGCCGTTCCAAAACGTCGGCTGCGACTTCCTGGGTCCATACGACTCAAAGGAACAGGAAAAGATGTATGTGTGCCTATACACGTGTCTCACAACGAGAGCTATACATCTGGAAGTTGTCGAGAACATGACAGCACTTGCCTTTCTTAACAGCTTTGTCCGCTTCGTGTCAAGAAGAGGTGTTCCAAAACTGATACGCACCGATTGCGGCTCAAATTTCAAGCTCGGAAAAACGGTTATTGACAACCTCTTTCGGAACAACGACACAACCAATCAATCAATCGATCCAGAGCTCATTCAATCAGTATTACAAGCTAAAGAGGCAATTGCATCTGCCGAAACGATATCAATCAAATTTCGGGAAATGTGGAATACAGACTACCACTGCCCTGAGGGACAGCCACACGAAAAATCTCATTCAGCGTCTTCATGTCTCCTAATTCCCAAATAGGGGAAATTGTGATAGTAGAACAAGAACTGCTACCTAGAGGCAACTGGCTCTATGGGAGAATAAAACAGCTTATAAGGAGCGCTGACGGCATGATAAGATCCGCCAAACTCAGCATGCCCAACCATACAGAACTGCACAGGTCCTCTCAACAAAATATATCCTCTTGAAATTCGATCGTATGACGAAGCAGTAGAGGAAGGCCCGAAGCAGAACCGGCCGCTGCACAATCTAGGCTGGAAGAAGTGGTCGATGGAGGTAGAAGACCCCACCACAGCAGAACCAACTGATCCGCCAATAGCTCCTCGGAGAAACCAAGAAAGAGCATCAAAAACTCGAGCCTACGAGGTGATACGAGACTTCGAAAGAGATCTTGATGACCAGTCCACCCAATCAAGTACGTACTGTTCAAAGTGGACAACGCTTGCAATCCTACTGTGCGTAATAAGTACAGCGTCGGCTAATAACAACCTTATATGTACCGACGGATCAGCGATCGTCAATATCCAGAATGCAAGTTTTGAACTCTGCTTCAACAATGAATGCAGAACCTTCATAAACATGGCGAGGAAACTAGTCCTTGAAGTGCCAGCTTCTCCACTTCATAAGCTCGCTACGGTGTCAACT